ATTTACTGAGCTCAGAACCAGTTTTTCCCCTCGTTGTTGGAGGTGAGATGTGCATCAGACGGCTGCTTATAACGACGTTACAGATGAACAGCTTTTCACTAAATGTACAGAGAACTATTAGGCAGGAATACATGTGCCACCACTTGGCAAACATTTGCAAAGGCCAGGAGTGACAGGTGCTTTTGTGACGACCACACAGACACACTCACACACAGGGCTTATTCAGGAGCATCTGAGCAAATTAACATCGCTCCATGAACCTGTTTTTTGTGTTGCTCACATTGAATAATTTTGTGAGAATTGTGCAGCAAGTGAAACAGGTTGTGCTTTTACAGAACGTAGCTGGATCTGTAGTGAAGTGTGCTGAGGTCTGGGTGTACTCTTGTGAGGGGAGAAACAGCATGGGGGTTGCTGAACACATCCCCTGCAGGGAAGGCAACATTTAGATTTTTGCTTCAGAGGGCTGTTGTGTGAGTCAGGAAGCATCTAAAGATGATAGTTTCTGAGTAAGGACAGTTTTTCCCCTCGGGGTCATTATAGACAGAACAAATGTGTCTTTTTTTTTTTTTTATAGTGACAGTTTGTTTGTACTCAAAAAACAGCCTAGTAACCTAATAACCGTGAAAAACCCAACGCACTAATGTGTCAGTTAAAAAAAGAAAAAAGCCTGTAATAAACAAACAAATATGGCAGCTTCATGTCATCAATAACAATTTTTCCTCTGCCAGTTTCCACACACTAGTGTGTCATAGCCATCAGTGCTGGACACATCGCTGCCACTCTAGTGAATGCGCCGCGGTCCTTCTCCAGCAGGTACCAACAGCGCCACTACACTCCATTTTAAATACCTTTTAAGTCTATTTTTGATGGAGCACAGTGCAAGCCCGCGTCAAGCTGGACAGAATAGAACGACCCGGGCAGGAAGTAAGACAAGGAAATGAACGGAGTGTCTTGTCCATTTCGAAATAAAACACAATATACAGACATACAAACGTATTTTATATCACTCTGTCAACATTAAGTCAAAACAGGTGCCGATCGAACAACATATCATCCTCAGAAAGTAGCATGTTGTTTCCACATCTTTCTCTTTATTCCCGTGTGATCTTGTAGTTCTCATGTGATGTGGTCAAAAAATGTTTTAAACTCTCTCTGTGCGTGATGTCAGTGACGGCCACAACGTGCAGTTTCTGTGCAGCTCTTTCTAGTTCCATCTCTTTTCACCAAGTGGAGTTTGCGAGCCAGCTAACGACCAGTACAGTAGTTCCTGTATCCTGAAGAACAGAACAAAGCCCGCTAGCAATTAGCTTAGACTCACGCTGCACACTCCCCTGGTCCCTTATTATGTTACTCGAGGAGTCTTTTCAATAAGACCAATATACCCCATAAAGTTTATTTACTAAACAGTACACCAACGTTTTCTTTAAATGCATGATTATGACCTAATAAGAAGAAAAGCTGTTCAAATGTGACTCTGCCAGCCTCGTCAGCGTCTTCAGGCACAACCAGCACGATATGGGCAGCGAGGACGTTGTTGGCAATACACAATAAAGGGGGAAGAAATTGCAATCCTGTTAGGTCAGATAAAGGAGCTGATGGTGGTGGCTGCACCCTCAGTCATGATGACACATGTCTGTGATGAAGCTTTAGATAGATAACACTGCCATAATATACTGGTTTATTGATTACACTGGTATAAAGGATGAAGCCTACTTTTTAGATGAAAAAAAAAAAGGTGTTCAAATTGTGTCTTATACACCAGATGTTATGGTAAAAAGGTGAAGTGATCCAGTATAGTGAGGAATATTACAGATAGAACAAGCTTTCTTTATGACTAACAAACTATCTAATAGAAGTCCGTCATGAATAAAACCACTATACTCATATCTAAGATAAATAAAAGGACATTTTTGTACTCTTCATCTCTTTTTGGACTCCACCCTGTTTATCTAATTCTGATCCCATGATTTTTAAAATTCCCCTGAAATGACTTTCAGAGATATTTGATTCTGGGTTTTTTAAGTGTTCACTGTCAAAACTGAAAGCTACTGAGGCATTTTGGAAGAATTTCTTTTCCCCCCCACAAAAAAAATCTCCCTTACTTTTAACACATGTGGCTAAAATATATTATGTACAAGAACCACCAGAAGTCAATCACAAAAGGTTTGTTAAGCTAAATGCTAACACACTAGCTTATATGTTAGTTCTATGTTTTAGAGTGTAATGAAAAATTCATAAATGGTGGTGAAGGGAAATTTGAGGAAGTTTTTATTGGACGCACAGCCAGTAAATACCGCAGGGGAGGGAGGATGACTTAGCAACAATTAATCATGGCTCCCTTTAAAATGACCAAGTCTGAAACATTGAGAGACTCTAAATGATAACTTTCTGTTATGGAACTGGTGAGACGTTGATGAATATGTGCTGGAAAGTCAAAGCACTGCGGAAGTGGAACAGTTGACAATGGTGACTAAGGTTGCAAGAAGCTTTCCCTGCTTCACAATAAAAACCCACACAATGGTTGGCTGCTGGAATGTTTATAAAAAGGTAAAGCAGAAACACGACGAGTCATGTTTGCTTCAACACAGGATTAACCGCCGCAGCTCAGGCGAGGAAAAATTAATTTGCTACAAGTCATTTCTCCCCGGTTCTTGAAGGACATTAAAGCCTGTAATGATCCGGGAAGGAGTCAAGTTACTTTTGTATCGATGCAGCGGCTTTATCCCTGGTTGAAATCGAATCAATACCTCGATATTATTCAGGTGCTTTAGTCATGCTGATAAACAGGCTGTTAAAGAGAATGTGATTGGTCATTGTGTGCTGAGCTCACTGCCTGTAATCAGAGCATGACTGGAACAAGTGAACGGATGCACAATAACATGTGTTTACAGCATGATAATGATCTGAGCACCAACAAAGTGTTAAATCAACTCCCCTATACATAAACACATTGAGAGTCTGTAATTAATGCAGCCTGTAATCTTCATTTCCTGAAGATGATTTATATACATATGACATGTTATCACTCATGTGTTTACATTAAAACCAGTACAGGATTAAACACTCCAGGTCCAGGACTCATCATGAATGATCTTTAAAATGTGGTCATGTCTTTAATCCACCTTCAGTATCAGAGTGGTGATGAGCTTCATCTAATAAACACACAGAGGTCTAATTGCAATATAGTTAGTCAGTACTGATATTTAAAGAAGATCTACTGGCTATGGAAAGCACCTCCAACTGATCAGGGTGTCTGATTCCAGCACAACCCACCCCTCCCCCCTCTCTCCAGGCAGGCACAGCTTTCTGTTGCACTACAGGAAGTGACCGAACAATATGATTAAAATTCTAATAAAATATGTTTTATTTAAAAACAAAAATATAACCAACTGACTACATGTTGGAACATATTATAGAGAATCAAAAGCTTGTTAGGATGTGGGGCCAAACTGCATTACATAACTAAACCAAAAAACACTACTCTGACCTTTTAAAAATGATTGATTAAGTCAGAATGATGAAACTGATATCTTCTCAATATGGTGAAGCTAGCACGACCATTAAAGTACTTCTGGTTGAGCTTGTATTTAAATAATGACATGTTAAGATTTTCCTTTTAAAGGGTTTAAATGTGTTGATTTGTAGTTTCAGTACTTTAGACTATCTGAATTACATAACACCAATAAAATACTATCTGTGTACCTTTGATCAGACGGTTCATCACCTCATGTAAAGCCTACATTTATGTTCAATACGACGACGCTTACAGGTCAACAAAACACCCCAGTGCTTCATTTAAATTCACTTTCTTCAGGATTATCCTCTCAAGTTCAACATTTTCTAACACACTGTTTCTCAGATTTTTGATATGAGACATTTAAAATCTTTCTTTGAGATATAGACATAACTATATGTTACATTTTGTGTGGTGTTTACAATGATTCCCTCCTTTAACCTCAGGCCACGTTACTGCAGCTCAGCATCTCCTTGAAAAATGACTTGAAGTAAATTTGCACATTATCTGCTCTAATATCTCATTTGACCTCAAAAGGCTCAAGACACGCTTTGAATACATTACAAGCTATATTTCTACTTTGTTGGGATCATGAATGGAGCCCACACACACACAAACACGCAGACACTTCCTGCTTCCTGTTTGGTTATGAAGATATTTAGGTCAAAGGTCTAAAGTCAACACAGGAAAGGATAATAAAAATCTGTGTTTCTCAGGCACGTTGTTAATAATCTACCCGATCCTGCACAGGTCGGTAGGTCCATTAAGGCTGCTGCTGACCCCACCTGCTGCACTTTTTTCCCCTTCCCCACTAATGTCAGAGAAAAACGAACACTCTGTTACCAACTTCTCATGGAATAGACTCTGCAAGCACCTGCTGAGGTAAAGCTGACATCACACCGGGCAGCATGTACAAAACAGAAAACCCACGCCTTCTACAAAAACCATCGCCACCCCCGACTCTCTGTTTCCTCTTGGTTTCAGTTTAAAATGAAAACACTCGCTGGCTCTGTGGGCGCTCACTTGTTCGCTCTGCAGATAAACAGAACGTTCAGTATCGGGCTCTCAGGAGGAAGCACCGTGTGACGAGAGAGAGGAGGCCTTTTTTTTTTTTTTTTTACTTCTTGTCCATTCGATCCTGTATGTTCTCTACAGGATGAAACCTCCCACACCACTACACATGCTCTATCTCTACTCCTCCCTGGAGTTTGACCCAACCACTACTGAGGTAGAACAGGCAGTTAGTACTGTCATTAGCACCTGCTAGGGCCTTGAGCAGCATACAAGCAGGGCCTGGAAACATAGGGACTAAAGAGTGACTTGGAAAAGGGTCAAGAATCCTCGTCACTGTGAAACCATTTTTTCCACACAAATGCAGCTTTCAACATTCAACCTGAGCCACGGCGGGGGAAATTTCCACTACTGCAATAACATGTGCACACAAGCCGAGATGATAAATACAGCGAGTGAGGTCAGCTTTACTTACATTTTGACATGCCGCTGCTCAATGTCCACTCTGGCCAGCTCCTCCTCCTCCAGGTCAGAGTCCCCCCCAGAGCTACTTTCTGTCACATCTGAGTCAAAGGCGCTTTCTGCTGAATGGAGGTTGGCTGATCCGCTCAGGTACAGCCTCTCCAGCTCCAGGGGCATGGTGCCGCTTTTCAGGAAGCGACTGAGGCTGTCTCTGTTGTTCGACGACGAGTGGCGTCCGGTCCTCCATGTCGCCGTAGGCGTCGCCGACTCCGACTTGCGATTTCCCGCTATTAGCCGGTTGAGAGCCGAGTCCAAGAAGCCGCCGAGCTGCTGCTGAACGTGCCGCTCCACCTGCTTCGCCTGCACGACCTGAAGACGTTTGCGCAGGCGCCTCAGCCGGCTCTCGATCTCGGCTTGGCGGCTGCTGTTGAGGAGGGTGCGTTCCCTCACTTGAGCGTCGAGGCTGTCCGAGGAGGAAGTGCAGGGCAGGGGAGGCTGTGGCGCGGGCGTGCAGGCCGGGGAGCCCTGCTGGCTGCTCCCTGCCCTCTCCCTATCAGAACCCTGCGTCTGACTAGTTTGCGTTTGTGAATCAGTCTCCTGCAGGTTTACTTGTTCAGCGGGGTTTGGGTTACCGTGGGTGAAGGGGGAAAGTGCAACAGACTGAAGCACTGCAGGTTCAAGGTTTTTTCCATCTGTATTTTGAGAAACCCCGGAGGAATGCTTCTGTTTAAGGGTTCCTTTCACCGGGATATGCCCTGATAAGGTAGCTGTCAAGGTCTCGGAGTTTAAGGGCAGGTTCTGGGTCTGAGAGTCTGTGGCGGCAGAAGGCTTGTCACCGTTTACTGCCACCACACAGCCCGGACCGGACATGGTGGCCAGCTTCTTGGCCAAGCCGTTGACAGGTGCCATGGGCTGGCCGCCTCCGTTGGTGCTGCCACTCATGAGGCTTTTGAGCTGGCCGCCGGACAGTTCTATCGCCTGCCTCTTCCTCAACAGGAAGTCTCCTCCTCCGTTGAACAGCGAGTTGTCCAGTATCCTGTGGCTCTTCAGCACGGACTGTTTGATGAGGACTCCTTGCAGCTTGATCGACTCCTTAGTTGACGGGACAGGTGTCACGTCAGAGCATAGGTAAGAAGCCACCAGCGGCTGGAGCTTGCCCAGGGCCGACGCCTGAGCCACGGAGTCCGTTTGGGGTTGCTGCTGCTGTTCCTGGTCGCCGCCGCAGAAATCGAGGGGGCACTCTTCGGGGGCGGCCTTGCACTTGGCGGGGCCGCTGCTGTGGATAAGGATGTTGCTGGCGTTACCGTTGTTCTCTGCACTGGCCGGTGAGAGACTTGAGGATGGGGCAGCCAGTTTGAAGCGGATGTGGTGAGCTTCGGCTGGGGCGTCGGTGAGAGCGGGCGCCATCGCAGCCATGCAGTGCAGAGGGACGGGCACCGCGGCCTGCTCCACTCCACCCGCTTACTGCCCCACCTGAGGACAGCCTGGACAGAATAGAGACGGGAGGGGAGACAAATCAAACAAATTAGTCCAGAAACATAAAATACCAAGAATGTACATCAATATAAAGTACTGGAGGGTAATGGGTGAGATATTTTGGCGTCAATAAACCCCAGATAATATCAAAAACCTTGCACAGCGATGGACTCATGAACACAAAGCGTAATCCAACATAAAGACACAAAGAAGAACATGGTTAAATACAGATTTAATACTGAAACCAGCAGCTCTAAAAAGGCTTAATTAGAGTTTCTACATTTAGAATAATTTGAAAAAGACTCTTAACACAGTTATCTTTATAGTCTAAGTATTTGTTAAAGCAAAAAATAATGTGTAGGGATCACAACAACCGGTCTCAGAGGGGGAAGAAGTTTACTTACAGTCTTACAGAACTCAAAAAGAAGCATTTAACTAAAAATATTATTTTATCTACATCTGTGTGAAAGCATTTAAAGAACCTACACGCAGGCTGTGCGGATGTCCAATAAAACATACAACTGAAATACTTGCACTACAGGTTCTGTGAGCCAGTAGAGGGAGTGGAAAATTACTAAGCACCACCCAAAAAGAAAACACATCTTTAGAATAATCAGCCTGTTTTTAATCCCTGAAATTGTGACTGCTTGATTTCAGGTTATGACACAATGACTAAAAAAAGAAATGTGGAGTAAATGATTACCAACATAGTCTAAGGTCTGATCAATGAACTGGCAGCTCGTTGACATTTGGTCGGCCTACTGGTTTTAAGTGGTGCTAAAATTGATCCTACAAAAAGGGGGAAGGAGGAAACGCATTTCAGGTAACGCACGTCAAACTCCTCGACCGTTCAATACGCTCTCAAAAGTGTAATTAATTTCATGTCATGAATTTGTCTCCAGAGGTTTAAACACATGTAAAATGTACTGATCTGCACTGACCTTGGTGCGTGGGATGCTGACTATAAAGATGGAATAACAGCAGACATCTGAGCTTCATCCCAGGCCGATAAATAATTCCCACTTACACCCATGCATGTGTGAACAAGCCTTCATTGTCATTTCCTCACATAGGCTGCTCTTTATAAAGAAATCAGCTCTGGTATTATATTCTGACGAGGGAAGAAACAGGACTAACCGATGCAAAATGATCCAAACCCCACTGCCCTACATGTGCCCTGGTAAGTCAGTGTGCAGCTCCACACAGCAAGTGTAAGTAGGTGGATTTAGGCCTCCTCAGCATTAGTCCAAAGCACATGATGTCATCCTGACTAGGTTCCTGTGTCAATTTCAGCAAAACCAAATTAAAACCCCTGACCATTTCTTCACCATGGATCATTTTCAGGATCATAATTTACACACCAAACGACAAATGCGTGATTAGGATTCAGTATTGTCTCATTGGGTGACGAAGCCGTACACACAGACTGCCTGTTTTATTCACATGAAACCTTTTTTAAAAAGCCTCCCTTCACATAAAACAAGAGATAAAAGCGGAGCTGCATCGTCTGCAGGCTCAGATGAATGGGGGCTCAGTATTTCACCGCAGTTTCTACGCCATGTTGGTATTTCCGAAGCAGATTATGCAATGCGATTCATCTGTCTAAAAAAAAAAAAAACCGCCCATTCCGCTTTAAACACACCAAACAAGTCCACAGGGTGAGGAAATACATAACCAAGAGACAGGATGTATATAAGGTGAATACATTTATCTGAGAGATGTCTGTGCAGGAGATGCGACAAAAAAAAAACGTCTACATCAAACGTTAGCCAAGCATAACGTAATCAGCAAAATGTCTTCCTGGTGTTTACAAAAACACAAAAAAAATAGTGCGTTCAAGAGGAAGGTTATCGCATCTGAGCAAGGTGCGTTCAAGTGTTAGAAGGTTGTTTCATAATCCCGATTTCTAAAAGCACATAACACGAGTGTGTCTGAATCAGAGAGCAGCCAGTACAAATAAATAAATAAATAAATAAATAAATAAATAAGCAACCGATCGCCACATCAATGATTATAAATGATAATATGTTGTCGGTTTGGCTTCGTGCACCTGAACGCGTCCTCGCTGTTTGTGGCTCAGAAAAAGCTGCTGATGCAAGAAACACAACCTGCTTCCAAAAGAGCTTTATCCTGCCCTCCTCACGTTATGGAGCGTTTTGTAGCTTTCCATTCAGTTGCACAACACGTCTCTGTATCTTTATATTTAAATATCTGTGTGTATCTGATAAAAAGCAGCAGCGGGAGCTTCACGCAAACCTCGTTAGGGAAGTAAACATGTTAAAGACACTCACCACGCAGCCTACGCGACACTTTAATGTTAATAAGTAATATGCATTAAGGGTTAAAAACCACACACACCTTCAGTATTCGTCCACTGGGTCACAACTTGTTTCAAACATCTCTTTTAGACCTTAATGCAGAGTGCAGACATGCTGTGCATTGCAATTAGACTGTGGAAATAAATACAGGCAGTGTGTTGTTGTAAACCTAAACCCAGCGCCCCCCCCACCCCCCACCACTTCAGCACCACGGGGGCAGGTAGGTAGGTGGGTGATTAAAAAATGTCCGTAACGTTAATGCACATTAAAAAGCAGATAAGTTACGGGGAGTAGAGAGCCCTCTGCATGTTTAGCTAGCTCCGCTAACAAAGAAAAAGGAGGAACCTACCACGTGACGAGGTTGCACTATCCGAGGGAATTTCGGCAACAATCCCCCTGCAGATTTAATTAGAAAATAAACAAAGGTGCTACCACGGCTTCGTGTAATCACTCTGCCATTAATTAATCCAGAAAAAAATAGAGCCAGATGGCGAAAAAAAAAAAAAAAAAGAAGCAGAAGAAGAAGGGCCCCGGTTCGGCTTCGTTCCGGATTCAAGAGCGAATCACCGATCTACACCTCGAGCTCCGGAATATAACAAGACGAGGCCGTGAAACGCTCCTTTCCCCCGCGAGTTTACCTCAAATGTAGGCGAGTTCACCCCCGCAATCCTACGGCAAAAAATCCGCTTCTCCGCGACGCGAAAGGTAATCCAGACGGTGGTTTCTGTCGGCAGCGTTTTTCTCTCGTTTTAGGGAGAGACGCTTCAGAAAATGGCGGCTAGCTCCTCTCCCTCGGATTTGAGTCTGACAAACATAGAAGGGCTGCGTGTGTGTGTGTGTGTGTGTGTGTGCGTGCGTGCGTGTGTGTGTGTGTGTGCGCGCTGCAAGCTGGTAGGCGGGAGACATTTCTCATACTCACCACTAGAGTAAAGGGCAGATAAGAAACGACATAAAAGCTGTAAAGAAGAAGATACCACAGGAGGGCATTGTCTTCTCAAACGTTGTTGTTGTTTTTTGTTTTTTTTACACTTGTTGGATATAAAAACTGTTTGAAGGTGCCGCCTGCAAACACTTCCTACTTACAGTAAAAATATCAAATTTAAAATATTAAATCACATTAATATCGACATTAAACACAAGTTCATAAATAAAACCAACACATAATAATCCTAAATGTTAGATTTTCTTAAATGTATTTTAATAATAAGAACAGGTGCTGTGAATTAAGCTCCTCTCTTTCGGTTTGGCGTTACAGGAGAAGGGGGGGGGGGGGGGGGATCCTGCCCCCCTCCCCTTTTGAGTAGAGTCTGCTTGGCTCTCATGACATTTTTAACAGGAACTAGATCGCCCACCACTACAGCACAGCAGGATGACTGCAGGAGCAGCCGGTGGCCGCAGGAGGGCGCTGTAGCTCACATTGTTGTTAAATGGAGCCGCAGATTAAAGGTGCACTATGGAGGTTTGGTGGTGAAATTAGAAAGTTGGAGAAATGAAACTATTCTACGCTATATTAAATATACAAACTTTATTCAAAGGAAGAAATGGCTCGCTGAACACTGTTTGGAGCCAAAAAAAAGCCAAAAATAACCTCAGGTGCAATAAGAGATAAGTGCAATAAGAAAACTTATTTATATTTTCATTTCATTGTACAATGTTCCCCTTGTTATTGTTTTGTATTATATCTTTGCTTTAATACAGTATATAACTTTGTACAGTTTATTTTAAATCACTTAGCTGTTACTACAACTTATTTTTTTACTTTTTTTGTACTCGTTTTTTCTTATAATGCTTTTCTATTTTATATATAATTTAAACTTTTTTGTAGAAGCTGACTCAGGGAGAAACACACAAGAATTCCAATGTACCTGTACTGACCTGTACCTGTGCAAATGGCAATAAACATCTATTCTATTCTATACTAAAAGCAACCAGGAGAGTTACAGTTTCACATTTGAGTTTCACCATAACTTCTCGCGTAGCTTTTTATCTTCACAGAGTTACAGGGAGCACATTTTCAGTTTCAGACAGTTTGTGTTTAGAGTTGTGAGCACATACCACAGAATCTGTAAATTTCTCCTACTTTCACATTTCTTTATAAACTCCATACTCACAACTTCAGAAGGTCAACACTTTTTTATTCTTACTTTTTGTGTCAGTTTTGTGGTTTAATTAGTAACAAATGTTTCATGTCATGTCCGTCTTTGTAACCTGCTACTGGATGCTTTGAATTTCCCTCTGGATCAATAAAGTATCTATCTATCTATCTATCTATCTATCTATCTATCTATCTAGTGCACTTTTAAATATGAAAAGACAACAATTAGGTGTTTAAAATTCAATCCCTGACATTACAGGTGTGACTGAATAAAGAAAACCAGGTTAATTAAAAACACTGGCCTTAAAGTTGTGGTTTTGTGTTGTACTGGATAAATTCTTATTTGTTGATGTTTGAATGTTGTGTGGAGTGTTTTTATATTGTCTGTAATTATGTTGTAAATGGAGCGGCTGTGATGTGAGAACACATTTAGACTTTGTAGAGCTGCACCAACACATTGATTATTATTCTCTAACAGACGGCTTTATATCTACAGTATTTATTGCAGCAATGGCTGAAAATAACGTTTCATCTCCCTTTGTTATGTAGATTTCAAAGTGTTCCTTTTTTTAAAAAATCATTAAGTACTTAATCTTACAGTTCTGTATCGACGTCATGTAATATTTAAAAACATAAAAACAGACTAAAAGGAACTTTTGAACTATTTTCTGACATTTTAAGACAAAAGGATTAATTGATACTTCAAATTAATGGTCAGAATAAGTACAAATATTCCATAGTTGTGTTTGTATATGTCCTGTGCAGCCCTGGATTTATACTGAATACTGTGTATGTGATAATGCAGATTAAATAAGGCTTAGTATCAGCACATTTTAGCACAGCAGTAAAAAGTTAAGGGTATTTTAGATGTCATCATCACAGGCAGCTTGGCGAGAGTTTGGCAGGAAATTTAAAGAGTTTGGATTTAAATAAAAATGTCCAATCAAAAGTCTGCAGTACTTTAAAGTTTTAAATCCATAAACATGAGTGAAGATGGAGTCAGAAGCGTTTACCTAATAGATTAATTAAAGGTCCAAAAGTAATGCTGCTCGATCCTCCTCCATTCATGTGCGGTGCTGACTGTGTCTGCAGAGACTCATGCTGCATTCAGGTGCTGCGTGGTGGTCCAAGTTTCTGAGTTGGGAAGTTGCTCTTCAGACTTCAGTGTGTTCATGTGATTTCAGAAAGTCTGATTGTTGGAACAAACAGTGTTGATGCTACATGTGAACGTCTCTGTTTAAAGTGATATTTGAGCAAAACGTGAATTAACAAAAAAGTATCTTAACATTAACAAAACATATTTTGCCCCTCATGTGATGACGATTCTGACGTCAAGTCGGGAAGTCGGGCACCTCATTCTTTCTGAGTTTCTGAGTTATTATTCCGACTTGAGCAGGCGTTCATGTGCACTTTACAACTCGGAAACTAATTTTTCTGATGTGTCCGATACCACATGAATGCACCATCTGTCCACTGACTGGATTCTCATGGTTTGTTTTGTTTTGGTTGACTCGGGATGCTTCTGGGTGGGGAGTTGATGTATTTCTCTCAACCAATGACAGCGTGCAGATTAATGTAGGAGTGGAAACAATTCAGTGATTCAAACGGGCGTATACGACGGACGTGGACGCATGTTTATCTTAAAAATATAAACGCTTTTATGAATTCAACTTTATGATATTTTCCCTAGGTGTTTCTGTCATTACACGGTTAACCTCTGTTTCTCATGTTCATCATATTTAGATTTGGTTTTCTATATAAACACGGGTCTAGATCTTCCTGTGAACGTCAAGACTTCCTGTTCTGTTTTATTATTTAGGAGAAAAGTTAAATAACGTGTAATATTGGATATGTGTTTCATAAGAGTAGGAATCAGTTCAGTGACTCTAATCAGAGAATGACTGCCTGTTCATTAATGCTAATGAATGCATACCACATCTCTCCTTCACCTCGTGCATAGCCTTTGTTCATTATCAGACTACCACAGTAAATATGTATGAGGAATAAGTAGTTATGAATGTGTGGGTGTGAATGAGACTCGAACCATCGACGCACATGTGGTGAAAAATTAAACAAGATAGAAGTCAAAGAAGTTAAACTACAGATGAGAAGAATCCAGACAATCATTAAGAGTTGATCCAAATCTGCTCGAATGCTAATAAATAAAAACATCCATCCCACTTCTTGATCCAGGCTTCATCTTCCAGCTAAAATCTACAACACATCACCGCAAGCTGCATGACTGTGTGCACAATGCTGCCAGTCTTCCATGCAGCTGCTCAGCCAAAGAAAACCACATTAAGAAGCTCCTGACGCACAGCTGCTGTGATGATGTTCCTCCCAAATGCAATAAAGCACTTTGTCCTGAGTTCTACAACAGATGATCGGCTGTGCTGCTGTTGCTCCCAAACACTTCTACTTCACAAGAAACAGGGCTAAACACTCACCAGGGCAGATCAATGTGCTCAAATTGGTCTGAAATTCTATGAACAGACTTGAAGAAGTCGCATCTTATGACAGCGCCTCATTTTTAAAGTGTTTGAGGTCTTTACAGTAACTTCTAAATCCTCGTCTATGGACTCAGTGTTTCCCTCAGTGCTTTAGAGTTAAGACAGCCGCCATAACAACATGTGCACTCCGTCTTAATAACCATTGTAAAAAACAACAACATTAAAATCCTCCTGCGTGTTGGGGCGCCGGTAGCCTAGTGGTTTTTGCAGTCAAAATCTGAATTCAGCGTTTTAAAAAGTAAATCTAAGGTATGTTTTTTCTCGGGCTTTCACACAGAAACGTGCTGTTGTAAGGTGTTGAGATTTTGTTGTGGGTGGTGAGTTTGCTTCAAAGGAGGCTCTTCTCTGTTTCATCTCACCACTTCTTTATCATGCAGGTATCATCTGTAACAGTCTGCTGTAATCTGAAGCTGCAAACTCAAGACAAACAAAACTCGTTACAGATCGCTGTGAGGTGCAGCCCCCTCGACACACACGGCCTCCTTTTGGTGTTTCGTCTCACTAAGGCGAACTAACACCAAAAGCAGGTGCTTATCTGTTAAAGGGGTTAACCTATGGAACAACTTAAGACAACCAATTAAAAATGTGCAGCTCAATTATAAAATAAAATAAAAACTGTTCAAATTCAGGGTAATAGAAAAATATAAAACATCATTATGATAATGTTTATAACCATGATAATATCTGTATCTCCGTACTGTAATCTGTTCTACAAATGATCCCTGCACTCATGTTCACTTCATCTGTCTGTCTACTCGCCGTTATATTGAATAGTTTCTGCTTATAATATGTCTACACTCATGCACTTTAACTTATGTCAATAATGTCTATTTACAACTCTGTTTTTGCACATTTACATTTAATCTTTCATATTTGAGACTAGTAATGCTTAGTTAAATCCTGGTTGTATATATTCTCATTCTTAGTTTTGATATTTTTAGTGCTTATTTACTTTGTATTTAATATTATATTGTGTCTAAATTTGCTAATATTGTGTTTTTTACTCATATTGTGTGTTTGGATAACCTGCTGCTGTAACGCCACAATTTCCCAGTTTGGGATCAATAAAGTAATTCTATTTTATTTTATTCTATAGTCTGACTATAATTAATCATTTATGGAAACTTTTCATTTATTTATTTTTTTCCTTTTATTGTTTTGATTTGGTTAACTGACAACTGTTTTCTGTTTTGTGAAATCAGGTTTCTTTGTT